GCAGCCCCTGAACAGTTGTGGGGCTGGCTGGGGGGAGTTTTCTGTCCCTGGCTAGGGCTTACCCAGGTTGGAGGTCTCCATTTCAGATTCAAAGGAGGTGTTGAGGGCCCCGATGGTGCCCCGCAGCAGCTGTGCCATCAGGGATGTGCCCATCACGTTCACAGACAAGTGGTGGCTGGCTGTGGGATGGGGGGATAGGGAGGCTGAGGAGGGGCTGGGAGGGCTGAGGGGGTCCCTGTATTGCTGAGGGGCATGGTGGGACCACGAGCTGGCCTTCCAGGGCTGTGAGCTCACCTTGGTAGGAATACTCGATGAAGGAATGATTCTGGATGACGCTGAGAATGGTGAAGATGAAGTGGTCCAGGCCACAGACAAAGAGGAGGAAGAGCAGGAGTGGGATGCACCTGAGCAGCTCCATCACCTGCAGGGAGCAGGGGAGCTGTCACAGCCTGCTGTGCCCAGCTCTGACCCCCCTGATTACCCCCAGCCCCTCACCATGTGCCGCCGCTCAGGCCGCTGCACGGCCAGCTTGCACGGGAAGATGAAAGACGGGACCTCCTCCTTGAGCAGGGGCAGCAACGTCTGCTTGTTCTGGATGAGGGGCAGGGGGTGTCTCAGTGCAGCCTCTGGGACACCCCACTGGTGGTGACAGGGCTGCCCTGCACCCCTTTCCCAACCTGCTCTCTGCGCCGGGCATCGATTTGGTGGAAATAGGTGGTGATGTAACAGTTGTCAAAGCCGATTTTGTGACAGTACTGATAGGTGTAGTTGAAAGCCCTGGAGAGAGAGGATAGGTTTGGGGTGAAGGAGGCACTGGGTGAAGCCCCCAGGACCCCTCCCTTGTCTTCATGCCTCCCACAAGACCTGCTGCCAAAGAAGGCTCCCACTCCTCTATGCCCCACAGCTGGCATAGGGGTGTCACCCCCATCCCCTGTGCCAGCTGTGACCATCCCAGGGGGGTGTCATCCTCAGCCCCTGTGCCCCTGACCATCCCAAGGCTCACGAGATGAAGACGAAGAGGAAGGTGAAGGACAGCAGCAGGCGGAAGAAGGAGACAGCCAGGCCCAGGCGGGCGCCTTCCTGCCGCAGCTGCGAGGTCAAGTCCTCCCGCATCTGCGCCGCCACCTCGGTGCCCACCAGCATCTTCTGGTGCTCCTCCTGTGGCAGAGGGGTCACAGGGCAGGGCAGGGCCATGGGCACAGGGGATAGGCACCCACAGGGTGCCCAGGCACCCACCTTGTAGGCAATGCTGGCACTGAACTCCTGGCTGAGGCTGTTGACGGAGCCGTTCACCTGGTCGTACATGTGCCCGAAGTTGCCATCCACGGGGATCTTCTCCTTACACCAGTGCCTCATGACTGCACAGGTGGCACAGGGACAGTGGTGGCTGTGGCTGCCGTGCCAGGGGGCAGAACTGGATCTGCCCCTCCAAGGGAGCACGGGGTCGGGATCACCTACATTTGACCGTGTGGCAGAGGAACCCAAACTGCATGGGCAGGCAGACGAGGTGGTTGAAGAGGGGCAACTTCACTCGTTTCATGCATTTTTGGTGCATTTTCTGGAAGTGGGTTGTGCAGCGCAGCAGGCCCATCTGGATCATAGCTGGAGAGCAGGAGGAGCCCTCAGCTGCCTGTGCCGCCCACTGCCCCAGCTCCCAACCCTGTGGGGACAGCAGTGGGATCTGGGGCAGCCCCCTCACTTTCCACCCCACTTTTTCCACCCCGCTCACTTTCACAGCGAAGTTTGGTCTTTGTCTCATAGATCTCCTGGGTGCTGGACTCTTTGCCCATCTCAGGGTGTTGCTTCAGGTCATAGCCATCATCACTGGCCATCTGCTCGTTCAGCTCCATGAAGGCTTCAGAGACGTTGTGTGTCTCGGCGTTGAGTGTCTCCGCACTCTTCTACCAGGGCACAGACACACACAGACACAGGCAGAGGCTTGGTCCTGCTCCCCCAGCCCCCCAGCACCCCTGCCCAGAGCCCTCCTCACCACCAGCTCATCCATGACTTGGCGCATGGGGGCTGTAGATGCGTGCCACAGGAGTCCCGTGTGGTTGACCTGTAGCTCCACCACGCACTCCATCGAGCGCTTCGTCTCCATCAGGTTGTACCAGAGGTTGGCCCCGGGTCCTGGTGGCAGCAGGGGTGGCTCAGAGCCCAGCAGCTCCCAGGAGCCCACTGGGGGACACAGGGATATGGGGGGGACCCTACCATTGTAGATGGCAGCGAAGACAAAGGAGAGAACGTAGAGCCGACCCTCCTTGCCCAGGAACTTGGGCACCATGAGCATGTTGGCACAGCGGAAATGGGGGGACGTGGCCCAGCCCAGGGCAGTCACCCCTGTGAAGAGCAGAGAGCTGAGCCCATGGTCCCCACAGAGAACCCCTTGCTCTGGGGTTTCTGATGGTTCTCAGATGGGGCTCCTGATGGTCCCCATGCCCTCAGTCCCCTCCCTGCCCCATCCTCACCTATCAGCCACCAGGTAAGCTTCACCTTCAGCTTCTCTGATATGTCCAGAGGCATGATGAGGAAATGGCAGACCCCTGGAACACCCAACAATATTCCTCATTCTTCCTAACCTTCCTAATGTTCTAATTCTTCCATTCTTCTAATATGGCTAATTCTTCTTCATAGACTTAAAAATTCACCAACAATTTGCCAATAGTTGGTAACACAAACCTTATCTCATGAGGTTTGTCTCAATCTGACAGGGAAAAATCCATCAGCTCAAAAGAGACACCCACAAACAATAATCACACATTACATAGATAATCTACTCATTACAGCGCCAACAAACAAAAAAATACAAAAGAGTCGTGACAGCATAATTACAGAACTTCAAAACACAAGATTAGAAGTCTCTACATCAAAAGTCAAAAAAAATCTCACCACAGAAATACTTAAAATTAAAAATCATAAAACAAACAAGCCACAAATATAAAACTCAAAAACAATGTTAACAATTTAAAAGAAATCAATTAGATCAGGCCAAGTTTAGAGATCACTAATGATAAACTTACACCACTTTTCAACTTATTAAAAAGAAGCTACAACATCAAATCTTCCAGAACCCTCACACCTAAAGGCCAAAATGCCCTTAAGAAAATTACCAAAGCCCTTCAGCAAAAACAAGCACAACAATGTGCAGTGCCACAACATGAACAAAATGTACAAAATGTACAAAAATTTTTGTAATGTACAAAATCACGAATGGGATGGGACTGCTTTGGAATGCATCTTGAGCTGTTTATTTCCCAGCATCAGCCTCATTCCATGGTGATGACAATGGGAAGCTGCCAGCAGCTCACATCCCCAGCAGCAGACCAAGAACTTAATGCTACAACTCACTTTAAAAATTTTTTGACCAATCTCACAAAGCAAAAGCACATTGACAATAGTTCTATCCAACCACTATAAGCACAGGTACCTTTGGTTAAAACAATGCTTGCTTATTTAAAATACAATACCTGCTTGGAAGCCTTAAAACACAACACACAGAACTCCATTATTAAGCTTAAAACCTCCTAATATCTCACTAGATATACTTTTCTGTAGCTTAGGGAGTTATTCAAGACAAGCGTTAATCCCTTTGGTTTTATTTGTCCTTACTTTGAAGATAAATTGGGAAATTATAATTTATTATTATTCACTTATTTATAGCTTATTATTTATTTAAATGCCGATTCTATATATATATTAATAATAGCATTTATTTATTTATTCATTCATTTATTTATTTTTCTACTTTTTGTCCTCAATTTTCTCCCAAAGTTTTTCCCAAATTATCTCCAAATTAACAACCACTGTTCTATTTGTCCTTACTTCTTACACCTCACGTAACTTTTCTGCTGACAAACCTTTTGGCTACTGCTTAGTTGTAAATTGTTCTGTTGTCATGTCTGGAGGTGAGGAGATGAATGTTGGGGACTAGCAGTCCCAGTGTGTGGGAAATGGGTTAGAAAAATCTATAGAAAATTTATAATATAGAAAAATTTCAATATAGAATAGAATAGAATAGAATAGAATAGAATAGAATAGAATAGAATAG